TTGAGAAGTATCAGCAATGAATTCAAGTGGGATTTTCCGGAAGTATAAATGTTTATTCTGGCGGTCCATAAGGTACCTACGTAGGTTTAAAGTAAATCTTATGTAAGTATTCTTTATACCTGGTCTGATGTCGTTTTGAAGGAGAAGACACTGGTGGAGTTTCTGATGCATTAGTTTGTAACGGTAGAGAGCCAAAGCAAACCAGAATGATATTTAGCCCCTTGTGATTTTGCAACACCTTAACTTCCAGAAGTATCTTCTTCATTATTCACTTGGTAGTTGTGAAATTCGTGGTCTGTATTGTGTAATGATACGAATGTTAGTCAAAATTGTGAATTTTTGCCCGTATGACAGCGTTCATTCAGAAGCACAATAAAATCTGTCAGCAAAAACACTTCAAAAAGAAACACACTTCACGTTTCCCTCTAATTTAGCAGCAGTTTGACCGATTTTTCCTCTTTCATTCTTTTTTTCTTTGAGTTTTTTGACCTTGATAAAATGAGCAGTAGCGTGTTGTTTTTGGAAACCTAAGTGCATTGTGTGTTCTTTCTCCGCTACTCTATCTAAACTGTCGGGCGAAGAAAAAAATTGAAGAATAAACTAAACAGCTGAGTTTTATCCAGTTTAACAAATGTCTTCAATTATCACACTCTCTAAACGCAACTGTTAGATTATCAAAGTCGACAATGAGTGACATTCTGGCATATCTTTAATGCACACATAGTTGGTGCATTATGAATGGCTGCATAGGGACCAGTAAAAACTGCAAGAGATTGTTGACACTACAATTCATAACCAGCTGCTAAGTACTGTGTTATAATTTGTATTATGTTACCAATAACGAAAGTAGACATATCCCAAATTGTCGGCGTTTCGTTTACACTCTTCACTAACGAACGTAAAACATTAGAATATATAGAGCAGCAGGATAGAAACCGATATAGAAACGGTAATGATCGAGATACAAAACATGAGGAATGAATATTATCAGTTTGAGTCTATAGTTTATACTCACACAAGGTCGAACAGGAAACGGTGGTTAACATAGTTTCGGAGAATGCAGGCAATTCTGGACCCCGGAGCGTAATAATACATGAAACAGAGTGATCGGGTCGTCGACACAAACGGTTTATATGATGGACCTTGCAATCACCTCGTTCTGTTATGGCTACATGTTATGTCATCATCCTCGCTAACCATTGCACATATACTCAGTCAATCTTTGTCGTTAGCATCGATAAGTTCTGCCGGTGTAGTCATAATTGCATCTGTTTTCAAATCTACCCCTGGTGTATAACGTAACGTGTTGTCGCTCCTTTTTTACGTTTATTTTACGTTCTTCACTAACTGAAGCAAATGAATTATTGGCACGTCGCGATAATCTCTTCTCAGATTCAAATATTCCCTCTCTCACGTAGTAAATCAAAAAAGTCGGATCGACAACTCACAGTGAATAAGTAAACAGTGTCCAAATTAATTGAGCCAACTCATCAGTCTCAAGTTAATGAGACGACGGCTCGAAATCCCATGTCAACGCTTCGCAAACACCACATTGTAACGGATCGCCAGTTCGACTTAGTTAGCTGGTTAACAATGATGAGCGATCAGAATAGAGTTTGTTGTATTGTAGCAAAACAATGATAATCCGAGTCTGTCAACTGGCGTTATGTAAATGAAAGTGGTTAACAGAACCCATTCAGTTGCTGTGAGTCAAATTATATAAGCGGTGCGATTGCAATCGTGCCTAGTCCCCATTTGTCTCTATTTGCCTAGTGCAGATAATCTGCATGGTTCAATTTTGCCTCTGCTCGAAGCAATCGAAACATTAGCACATCACAACATATTTTTTCTACTTTGTTGAAGAGGTTGAAGGAAATTCCATATTTTAGGAGTCTGTTTTTCTTCGATAAGTCATTACGTGTGGTTTGATTGGAAGTATGTTTGATATGGGTGGTTGGAACAGATGTAATAAACTCACGGTGGATTACTTTTAGAGGGGACCCAATTGCGAAAAATCTGGACTTCGGATGAATTGGAATCAGCGACAGAAACAACATGTCCAAACGCGGCAAGCGTTCTACCAGCTGAGCTAGAAAGTCAATTTTCTGGAGCTTCCGACCTGGCTTCGTTGCTCAGCTGGTAGAGTATTTGCCGCATGTGAACATGTTGTTTCCGTCGCTCGTTCGAATCCAGCCGAAGTCTAGATTTTTCGCGGTTGGGTCTCTTAAATTATCAATTCTGCCAAACTACTTATCGGATTACTTTTAGTTATTCCGATCAACTGTGATTTGAGAAAGTGGTGCACCTAGCTCTGGTTGACCAGCAAGTGATACAGGAAGTTTTCGGTTTTATATCTCTGTAATAAAACTGTTAGTTATATCATTACAAAAACTATACTGCAGTCGTTATTGCGTGGCGTTCACATGCAAATTAGTACGTTATCACATGCTCTAAAGGTCTTGATTCGTGGCATTCACAGGAAATTTACAGCTTGGGTGAAAATATTTCTGTACATCATCATGTGCGTTGAACAGGCCAGAAAGAAGATAATCAACTGATGATTTCAGCTTCGGAGTTTTCAGTCCATAAGAAAATTTCTGAGGAATCTGAGCAGGAGGGAAAACAAGTCACTATAAAAGAAGTTCAGCCTGTTTGCAAACAACAGGCGATCAAAAACAACAGTGAGGTGCCATATGTATTTTTATTCTGCACAGGGATTCTGATGGCTATCTGAAGACTGCTTAGTATTTTGAATGTGTGCGCCGAGTATTCGTTTGAACTAATCCACTGCTGACCTTGTCACGGCTGATTCTGGTAGGCTGCTGTAGGTATGTCAGACCGATGGTACATCTGATGCTACAGCCTCACCGAGTTACCTCGTAGATGATTACTCGAGTAAAGTAAAGCGTAGTTTGTACCCGAAGATGAGGTAGATAGGTAATGTATAGTAGTTGTATATGCTTTTGGTGTATTGTTTGTAAGTGTCATATACAATTTTTTTTAACCCATACCTTAGCCATTTACAACTGCATCGTACACAAAGATTTTGTAACTATTGGTAGTTGACATTATGCAAACTTGCGTACAAGTACACCGATCTTTGTTGCAAAGGTGATAACATTCTACAGGATGATCGTAACTCAAATTTGTATGTAAATTTCATATCCCAGTGTTGTCATCTGACTACGAAAACATTGTGTAACAGGTTAGGCGAGTACTATGAGTACAACTGGTTTCAGAAGTTTTAATTGCAGGATTATGGAATAAGGAAAACAGCTCATACGTCTCTCGTCAAGACGCTTCAGCAACCTGCAATCTGAAAACATGCAACTGTGGGTAATCGTTTTGGTTGCAAACAATGCGAACACATTGAGTTTACTTGAAACCGACTGAGAATTTTATGATTTTGAAAACAACTCGCATCGTTTAATTTCTGACCAGGAGGTTATTGTATACCCCATGGACTAGGTGTAAGTCTGGGTGTGCTGAAAATGAAATTACTTTGAAAGATATAGATTATAGGTCGATGGAACAGAAGTAGAGATCATTATTTCGTCGCGGTTAATGTTACAGGCAAAACAGAGATCTTTGAAACAGTTATGTCCCCCGATAAATTTAGAACACGCAAGTAGAATTACGTAAGATGTACTCTGCAGAGACATTTCGACCGATCTCTTCGGTTACGATACGCGGACTATGATCAATTAACATACATCAATTTAAATAAGTGTAAAATAAGAATGAGTCATCAGCTGCGATAGAAATAGCATACAGTACCAGTCACGTTCGAATGGGTCATCATTAGTTAAGTACAAGCGAACAAAATTCAAAATTCAAACTGGTCGAGTGAGAAACTAACGGTGCAGACAATGTGAGTCTTACAGTAAAACACGCTGAAATAAACGGGAATTAATAGGCAGTCCAACATAAAACTTAAGACAACTTGGATGTGGCGAGTGAGTTGCTTGGGCCCTTCCTCGGTGTGCAAGGCAACCGTGTCATCTGATTGATCAGTCTCACTCGACCAGTTTGAATTTTGAATTTTGTTCGCTTGTTCTTAACTAATGATGGCCCATTCGAACGTGACTGGTACTGTATGCTATTTCTATCGCAGCTGATGACTCATTCTTATTTTACACTTATTTAAGTTGATGTATGTTAATTGATCATAGTCCGCGTATCGTAACCGAAGAGATCGGTCGAAATGTCTCTGCAGAGTACATCTTACGTAATTCTACTTGCGTGTTCTAAAACAGAGATCACTGAGAATGTAGAATGCAGAAGTGGAGTGGGCATAATCAATAAAATGGTGATTCTAGAGCTTGTTAACTTCACCGAAGCAGCCTTCAAATGTTTAACTCATCCAACTACCGATGTAAGTCGGCCAGATTGATCCAAATCCGAAAACTATGTACCTGAGTAGACGTAACTTACTGGCTGGCGTTCGTGTGAAATTATTGACGTAGTAGTCAGTATACTTGTCTAGCAAGTACACGGATCGCAGATTACTTGTCCACTACTGAGGTATTCACACGAGTCAGTGAAAGTGAAACATGGTGTCTTTGTTCAAAACGGGCCGGCGTGACGTATCTAAGTAAATACCAAATTTGGTGTCAAATTTGAGTGATGCTTAGTGTATATCATTGTTCAACAAATTACTCAATTTTTGCTACTTTTGTGGTCTCACTTTAACTAACAAGTTTTGATCGTGAAAGCGATTAGTAAAATTAACATAACAGTCAAAATTTCCCCCTCCAATGACAGTGGGAAACCAGACTACTCACCGTCGTCTGATAGAACGATAAAAGATACTGACCATCAGAAATTCTGAAGTTCAACATGCAGTTTGTCACGTAGATGTTTTATTTGTTTTGCCAATGCAACTTTTTCTGTTTCTGTCCAAGTTATTTCGTCCCTTTTCTGACTGAAATGGTCAAACTGGATAGAGGAAATTTTTATTTGTTACGTTTGAAGAAAAGCGATTATGAATCCACTGTGATTGCAAACTATTCATCATACATTATTCCGCAAAATTTTACTACTTCCGTTACTTAGATTTTTCAGTCCAGTGTGACTTAGTGACCGGAAGGTCTGTCTCATTGCCATCGGAAACATCTCTGTGTTGTGGCTAGGAAAGCATTCTCCAGGATGAATTACATTACGAGCTAAATCGTTTCGTCCAACAATTAAAAAGTTTTCTAGCAAAGACAGTATCAAGTGCAAGCCACAATTTAGACTAGTTGGTACGATAATATCTCCACTTATTATCCCATAGAAGAATATAACCTTAGTAACCGAGGGCACATGAGCTTCTAGCTAAGTAACTGAAGAAGATGCATGCTAACTTTGCCAGGTCAGCAAGAAATATAAGCATCTAATTTAAATCACATAGCCTATTCAGAAGAACTGATGATACCTTGAGAAGTACATTACAATCGTGTAATGCAGTCGCTTTATTTTTGCTTTGTATTGAGCATAATGATTTGTATGTGGCAACATCAAGCCTAATTGTGTGATCACTCAATATTTCCCTTGATTATTCCGCCGTATAAAGCTATGAATAGTAGGCTTCTCATACCTAAACTTCTGATTAATATTGCAAGTTTTTACATCCAAAAATCAGAATTAGTCTTCTCCAGTCAAGCTTGGTGAAAGAACGGTAGAAGAATGCAGTTGGTCTCATTGGTCACCAAGAAAATGACAGACAGTTGTTTTGGCCATATTTGGTATCATCATCAGTATCACGACATGTGCATATTTGTAAAAATGGTGACTCATCTGCTTGTCCTGTTGAATACGGAGATACAATCATTGACACAGCAGGAAATTATGAGTCAGATGTCATACCATTCTCTCTTCTGAGAGATCACAGCCCCATGGTCTAGCAGGTAGGTGTGTGAGCCGTCTATCTGATTCGTACTCACTGGTCATGGGTACGATTTTACTGTCTGCTTGTAGTCGATGTCACCCATCTAGGTCAAACCAATCGTCCATCATCTCGATCGTTGTTACTGGTATCAGCTATTTTCAAGACACCCCTCCAACTACTCATGGAGTTATGGTAGATGCTGACTAGGTTGTGGGTTAATCACAAGCGACTGGTCGATTTTCACCCACCAGTAAAGAAGATGCGTTAGCTGTGATGTGGAAAGCATGTGGATGCGAATGTGTGTGTGTGCATGAGATGAATTCTATAGGCGCACACCTGTACCATCCTTCCAGTTTGACCCAAAAGGTTACACAAGGACCAGACGAGACTGCCGCTTCAGCAGAGCATCAGACTATATGCCGTGTGCTTTATCTGTATATTCAACTTCCAGTGAACAGTGTATTGCAAGCAACGATCGAGTAGTTTTTACAATGGCTAATGAAAGCATCAACAATACGGGAGACGGATAGTGTCATGGCAACGATGCACACATATGGGCGGTTTTTGTCAATCCATAGCATGACTGTCATGTTCACAATGATCTACTTTCACCGGTTCTAGTTACTAACTACAGTTACTTTACTCAGGTAGGCATTCACCTACATGCTACTGTCATTCCAATTTGGTGAACTTCATCCATTTCTACAAGCATAAGCCGCTCGTACTTCGTGTTTCGACTACTCCAGGTATAATCTCCAGTTCAATTATTTCAGTACCATGCTGCCAAATCAAGTTGGCTGAGTATATTGAAATGTAATTAATGCAGGTAATCGGTTTGTCAACTGAAAATGGCCGCTTGTTCAGTAGTTTGACTGCAAACCACTATGGTGGGTTATAACGCGAAATTTAAAGTGGTCCTTGTTTGAAAATGAGCATGTGTCTTTCCAAAAATGATAATCGACTGAACGAACACAAAGCCTATGTTTGAAGAACTATAATACTGATCACCTTTTCACTCACTGCACACAAGAAATAACCGAATAGTGCGTAGCTAAATACTTTTCCAAAACCATGGGTATCTTCAGTTTGTTTTCTTCCCAAGTATATGGACTCGAGTTTATGCCGTAGTCTGGACAAGGACATGCACTATTAAGGAGCTCTAACAAAAGTGACTAATGAGTCAAGTGTTTCCTGCGAATGTGGGTCAGCCAGAATGTTTATTTTTATGCTGGTTCGTTAAGTTTGATTGTTTCAAGTTGAACGCTAGCGGCATCTTTTGCATTCATTATTCTGTTGACCTCACACTATGCCACGTGACCCGGTGCTCCTAGCC